TCTAGTCGTTGCAACTCAGTAGACAGATTTCCAGATACCATAGCAGTACAGAGTGCCATAAGCATCACCATAAGCATCATGTTTGCCCATTTAACTAAAACAAAACAGATTGGATGCAAGTCAGTCATTGTTGCAAAATTGACGTCCCAGTTTTGCAATCTAGCACTTTGATCAGGAAACAGGAATGATTGAGAAACAAATAGTTGAAGAGGACAGGACAACATTCATATACTAACATACAAGATCATACACTCTTCACTTATAATAATCAAACTTGAACCTTAAAATTTGACTTTCCTGCATTATATGTCTGTTGGCATATATCAGTAAGTTAGGACAATGCCAAAATAAAGCAATATGATACTTAGTGATCTTATTAAAATATTTGAACAATCATAAGCAACAATGTCTACCTGCCTTTAAATAAATTAATGCACAATGCATAGAATATTATATTATGACAAAAATTATCTGTGAGTTTATAACAACAACTAAATTAATAAAACGTGTATCTATAAAAAAAATATTTTGCAATTTTTAATAACATTTCAGTACTTGTATAATGTTATAATAGTACATTAAAATTACATGTATACAAATAGTTTTTCTCTGTTTATGCTTTATCAAAATATTTATATTTTGTTGGTCTTTTTCGAGTTTTTCCTGTTAAAGTATGTTTGGCATAAAATGCTCTAAGTAGCATTTCGCTACAATCTTCTTCGACTTCCCATGAGGGCTTTATATTTGGGTCTGCCCATTGTACAAGGAAGTATTTTTTGTTACCCCATTTTTTCTGTTTTAATATTTTAACTGCATCTAGCCAGTTATCATCATCAGTATCATCAATACTCTGATGATCATTATCATCATTATCATCATTATCAGCATTTCTGTTATCCTGATTTTGGTTATTTTCATTTTCCCTATTTAAGTTTTGAGTATTACTATCATCTTGTTGTATTTTTGTTAAAGGAGAATCTGATTCATTCACATTATTATCATTTTGACTATTTTGTGAGTTAGTAATATTGTGATCATTGTTTGATTGATCACTATTTTGACTGTTTACATTATCTGGATCTTGCTGATGAAATTCTTGTCTATAATTTCTTGGGTCATGATATGTTTTTAAATTTTTGGCATTGACAAAGGCTTTTCGAGCTTTATGTGTTTTGCAATCTGCAATGCGGTATGTGTCATGGGGACCTTTTTGTGTTACATAATACGGTCCTTCCCATTTAAGTTGAAGTTTGTTTGAAAGACCTGGGGTGTACTTGTTAACTTTAAGAAGGACTTTTTCAGTTAATGCAAAGTTTGATTTCTTGGCTTTAATGTCATGCCTTTGCTTGCTATCTTTTTGAGTTATTTCAGAGTTTGTTGTGGCTTGAAAATGGACTGTTTTTAAATTGTTTAACAGTTGTGTCATGAATGTTTTTGCTTCAGGACCTAGGCTTTCTCTTGGCACTAAGTCTGTGTCAAAAGGTAAACGCATTTCTTGACCAAAAAGCATTTTGAAAGGTGAATAACCTGATGTCTCTGTATTTGGAGATGACCTAATGGACATTAGCACTGTTGGAAGAATAAGATGCCAATTATTCTTTTTTTCATTGACATACATTCTTAGAGTTTGGGCGATCACTGCATTTTGGCGTTCTACACATCCATTTGCCTGTGGGTTGTAGCTGGCTGTTTTGTGCCTTGAGACTTTGTAGACCTCACAGATTGCATTTATCAGTTTGGATAAGAAATTGCGTCCTCGGTCTGTAACAAGGGATAAGCAAGCACCATAACGACAAAATATTTCGTCATGCAAAACTCTAGCAATTTCTGTAGCTGACTGTGTGATCAAAGGAAATGCTTCTACCCATCTGGAAAACTGTCAACACAGACAAGAATATATTCATGACCATCTGTAGTCTTTGTTAGGGGACCCAAAATATCAATATGCATTCGTTCGAACACTTTGACTACAGGAAGTGGATTTAGAGGAGTAGTGTGGGGATGTGAATTTTTCTTTGCGAATTGACAAAGGTCACAAGATTTCACAAAGTCAGTAATATCTTGACACATGTGACGCCAATAGTATTTAGCTTGCAATGCAGAAAATGTTTTCTTGATACCAAAATGGCCATTAAAATCATGATATGACTGCATTGCTTTTAGCCTTAATTGTGAAGGTAATGCAATCTGAAATATCAATTTTTCATCTGTTGGTTTTTTCTTGCTCCTTGGCTGGTACCTATGAATAAGTATTCCATCAACAATATCAAATTGGTCTTGGTTATGAATTACAAAGTTCTTTTGCTTTTTATCATTTGGTAAAATTTTGGATGACAGGTAAAGATACATATCTTTAAATTCAGGACAAGTTTTTTGTAATTTAATCAATTCTGTGTCATTTTCTATTTTTTCCTCTACTGGTGACTTTACGTCAACGGACAATATTGAATTATCAGTTGTGTATTCAAAATTGACTTCAAGCCATTCCTTATCAGATGCTTCATCCAAAATATCAACTGACGAGATTAAAACTTTGTCTTGAATTTTGTTTTCCTTAACCTGTTTTTCATTTAAATTGTTGGGACTGGGATTTTGGTCAACTCTGGGTTTTTCAATTGACCTAGATAAAACGTCTGCACTATTATGTTTGCCTTTAATGTATTCAACTTTATATTTGAATCCCTGAAGAAAAAGTGACCATCTGGCTAGTCTAGCATTTGTTGAAACAGTTAATGAATTTAAACATTTTAAAGCTTTGTGATCTGTATAAATGGTGAAAGGTAGCCCTGTTGAAAGGTATGATTTATAAGTTTTAACACCAGAAACTATTGCGAGACATTCTAATTCAGAGGCAGAGTAATTCTTTTCTGATCCATGTAAGGCTCTTCCTCCATATTCGATGACCCTTTCTTTGCCATTTTCATCCATTTGGCCTAAGATAAAACCTAATCCTACAGTACTTGCATCACATGTGAGAATGAAGGGTTTATTCATATCTGGGAAAGCAAGAATAGGTGCAGACGAGAGAGCTTGTTTAAGTGTATCAAGGGCCTTGTCACAGTCTTGGGACCAAAAGAACTTAACATCTTTCTTCAAGAGATTGATTATTGGAGCACAGATTTTACTGTAACCTGATATGAATTTTTTGTAGTAATTCGTCAGTCCAAGTAAACTTTTGACACCTTTTTGATCTTTAGGAGGAGATAATTTCATAATTTTTTCGACTTTTCTTTCATCGGTTTGTACGCCATCTTTGCTAATAACATGACCTAAATAGTTAAGTTTTTTCTGTGCAAAGAAACACTTTTTTGGAGACAGTTTTAATCCTGCTTGCCTTAGCCGGTTAAATACCTCATCTATATGTTTCAAGTGTTGTTGAAAGTTGGAGGAAAATATGATACAATCATCAACATAACAAAGAACATACTTCCAAGAAATGCCTCTCAAAACTTTCATCATTAAATTTTGAAAAGTGGCAGGAGCTCCAGAAAGTCCAAATGGCATATTTTGAGGAGTAAAAATTCCATCATATGTAATAAAAGAACATTTTTCTTTACTTTCCTCATCAAGAGGTACTTGCCAAAATGCTTTGCCTAAATCTAATGATGTGAAGTACTGAGCGTTTGCTTCTCCAATAGCATCAAATATATCAGCCAATCTGGGAATAGGATAGTCTTGGGGTTTACTAATTTTGTTTAGTTTTCTGTAATCAACAGCAAATCTGTATTCATCAGTATTTGCTTTTCTGACCAGTACTACGGGAGAGTGCCAATTAGAACAACTTTCTTCTATCTGATTTGTCCTTAACATTTCATCAGTTAATTCTTTTGTTTTGCGTCTCATTTCAGGTGTTTGCTTATAAAATGGTAATTTTACAGGAGGAGAATCCCCTGTGTGCACTTTATGAGTGGTGAGGTGTGTTCTACCTAAATCATGCAACCCTTCAGCAAAAATATCAGAATTTTTGTGCAAAAGTTTCAAAAGTTCTTCTTTTTGATTTTCAGTCAGATCTGAATCTTCAAAGTTAAAATCAAATTTCTTTGTTTTCTTATGTTTTGAATTGGGGTCTTGGAAATTTTGATTTTGTTCATTTTCATTCAATGCGAATATGGACTTGCAATTTATTTCTGAAGCTATAGCTAACATTTTGTTGTTTTTGAGAGTTACAGATTGTTCAGTAGGGTTTATTAACCGAAGAAAAGCTTTACCCTTTTCTACTTTAACTAGACACCTGGCTCCCATGATATTTTGATTTGACAAACTAGTTAAACAGGTCTAAGAAATACCTTGAATCACACATTATCTATATATACACACATGATCTGTATATTTACAAAAATATAAATATGTAAATTTAAAGAATCACAGTCCAAATAAAACAGTATTTCCGCCCTTCGCATCAAAAAACAAAAATCCGCATTCCGGTTCCGCTATGTACGAATTGTTTACAGTACGAAAAGAGCCAGTGAACAAGAATTTCCAACATATATAGCCTACTTGAGATTTGTCGGCTGAAACTGTTTATTACAGTAAGTTACAATGAAATATGAGTGACAAAAAGGGTAAAATATACCTGTAACATTTAAATAATGCAATGAAATTGACTTTTATGTGAAAAAAAAACCTGTTCTTCCTTCTATTCAACGCCATTTTGCCAGACTGGTTTACTCCCTATGTAATCTGTATCACAAAGAAGCTTACTTCAAATGTAACACAACAAATAGTAAAAATATGTAAATTGTGTATTTTGAAAGTCTAAAAAATGTTGTTAATAATGTAAAATAAAACAAGTTATGACCCATATCTTATTCTTTGTTTATCATATTTCCTAATGATATAGAAAATTAAATATTATCTTGCCAGTTCATATTTTATCTATCTATTTAAAATGTTGACTGTTGAGCGATATGGTTCAACGTTCAAGTTTTGATAAATTGTCTCAAAGCCTATTAGTGTAATTAGTTATTTCAAATTTAAATAACGCCAATCAATAAAAGCAGATTACACATATCTTTATTGCAGAAACATCAGCATGCCTCCAAAGAGAAAATGCTCATGCAGGGATCACGATGAATTAAGTACTTCGGATTCTCCAGTGTCTTCCATTGTCTCAAGCAAAAAGTTTAAAAATTCTGCTTTAAACTATTTGAAAGATAATAATTTATTACAATCATATCATAAATACTTGTGTGAAGGTTGCTATATGTTTGCATTAAACCATGCCACCACAGCAAAGTATTCTTTTAAAGAATTTTGCTCATTAATTGAAAATAATGATATAGAACAGGATGATTTGATTTTGTTGTCAAGAAGTTATGCCAAGCTTATTAAAATAAGACTACGAGGAATTAAGAGTGACTATGTGTCAAAAAATATAGAGGGGCTGTTATTTGAAAATTTATGGAGTGATATGGATGTTGCTGTTAGGGAGTTCTTTCTAGAGTTTTGCGAAGAAGCAGCAAGTAAAAATAATTGTGCAATTAATGCTTATGAAAATCTTGTACAATTGGCAAGTCCTTCCTACATAGGGCCTTTAAATTTTGCAAAAACAGTCATATCTTATTTTGTAACAGGAAGCAGACAATTAGTTGAGCTTAATGCAGCGTTTTCACCTTCAGGCTCCTATGTCACTGTGTTAGAATTCCTCAAATCCAAAGCTGTAAATGAGCAAAAGGTACCAGAATTGAAAGACTGTATTTATTTCTTTGATAATAATCAAATAATGGCAAGAAACTGGAATGTCAAATATGACTTAAAGCCACTGATAAGTGTTGTAACAACAACTGCATGTCTGATACCACCATGTGAAACTAAGATACAAAAAAATGAATTGTTCATCCCAGCTTCATGGCATTATCTTCAGTCTATAAATGGCGGTGAAATTATTACCACAGAAAACAACAAGTTATTTAGAGGTCAGCGTAATGAATATATACACCATGTTATTTCTGAAATAATGAAAACAAATGATGGACCTCCCCCACATAAATTGCGCAAAATAACGGTTGAACCAGTTACCGGTCGAAGCACATCTGAGTTGCGAGCCATGAAAGATCCCTATGATGACATACCTTCTAACGTTTCTGGAAAAACCAACGTATTAGTACTGAAACCTATTCCAGTAAATCCATGTTCGTTTAATTCCCTAGAAATAGTTTTAGACACTATCGTTGAGAAAAACAACAAAACCTGTCTAGCTATTGGTTGCGATGGTCTACCATTCAATTTATGTTCTAAACTTATTGACAATATATTCATATGCCCGCACTGTGGAATAAAATTTACAAAGACATTAGCATTTGAAAATCATATAGAAAATGAAAATATAAACGTGGATTTAGAATTGTGCAAAAAATATAAAACCATTCTACTGCTTCCTGGGTTTGGACACTTAGATATCAATATAACAAAAGCATTATATAAACTGTTATGGAAAGTTTGCATCAAAGACCTTGCACTACTGTTAGGATGGAAATCTGTAAACGCGCTTACGGCATGTGAAAATTGTACAGATCATCATAAAGCAACGCAAATTTTATCAATCTTATTTGAAAGCTTATCAACGGAACTTCTGTCTCCATTTATTCAACACTGCATTGAACAAAACGAACAACCAAATATTGAAAATTTATACAAATACGTACCTAATCAAAATTCAAATTACATCTTTTTATTTAAATGTAACTTCACTTATCCTTTGGCTTCGAAAAGTTTCAAAAAAGGAATGAGAAGAGGGAATTTCAAAATTATGAAAACGGCACTTGACAAACTAACAAATCATTTCTATGGTATAAACATGACAATCTATATGGACCTATGGTTTAGATTCGAAAACATCCTGTTAAAAGCACCGCCCGAGATTAAATCATTCATTGAAGAAAACATATGTTTATCACAGTCTGGACATCCAAGTAAAGCCGAGGGCGGTGACTTCATACTTGAGTCAACTAATAAAAGGATCAAGTCTTATATGCCATATGGTGTTCCCACTGATGAGAGATGGACAAGAGTTTGCCTCAATATTGATAATATTGAAAAGGTTCGGTATATCACTTAAAATAATACTTAACCTAATTATTTAAACATAGAATGCATATATATTGACAGTTTTGTTAAAATACTTGAAATATAAGAAATGTATATATAATAAAATAATATAAATAATTTATTTACATAAAAACATGTTTTGATATTCATGTTTAATTTCCTCATAAATTATATTTTAATTTTGTTTTAGATGAAAAAGGCGGTGACTAGATCTACGTGTATAGATACTGATAATGATGAAGCACCAAACAGATATTTCAGGTATTTATCGGTATTGGTTACAAATCTACTTCAATATATTCCTCAGTTTTGTTAGCATATTATGCAAATATGATATTTACTTTACTTTTTGTGACATTTCATATAATAATAAATATCATTCAAAAGATTGTGTATACAGTAACTTATGAAAGAACATGAATTATGCCATTTTCTCGTGCCTACAATAAGGCCAAATAGATTGAGAAAGATATATTTGGATGTCCCTATGTAATTGTCGGAGAAAAAAAATCGTTTACGCATGTTAAATCTTCACCTTTAACAGAGAAAACTACCTGTGGTCTAAGTCAGATAGATCGCTCGTACCAGTTGGATGTGAGATTTATCAACTCGCTTCGCTCGTTTATAAATCTCATATCCAACTGGTACTCAGGATCTATCCTATACATATCACGACCGGCGAGAACGAAATATTCGTGCATTCTATGTTATACCTAACTTAACCGTCCAACTAGAACTCTTAACCTGCAATAAGTACATTTTTATTGATGCCCGATAACAATTAGAGTATTACATGTAATGTTTGAACAGCACAGACATTTCTTCTCTAATTTCTTCTTTGAAAGTAGAAAGTTTTTCTTTCAGAAATGATTGAACATCAATAAACTCCTTTCCATAATTTGAAGGACATTCACCGCCTGTACACTCCATAAACAAAAAGTATAACGCAATACGGTGTGATCACTACAATGCGAAGTCCTTGAGTGACGATTCTACCCGCCTTTCAAATATGTATCCATATCACGACCGGAGAGCACGATCTATTCGTGTTGATTATGTTATACCTCACTTAACCGGACAACTATAACTCTTAACCTACAATAAATACATTTTCATTGCTGCCTTTATAGTATGATGATAACGTTTAGAGGTTAACATGTTATGCTTGAACAGCACAGATTAAAGTACATTGGTGACATTTTGTTCATACACTTCCTATATGCATCGCACTGTAAAACTGTTTTCACAGCCACTTAAATGGAAGATTTATATGATAAGTTTGTATTCTTAAGAAGACATTTTCAAATCTTATTATTTTAGGATGAGGAACATGTCACTTACATACAGTTATATACAAATTTGTTAAAATATGTTAAAATTGACAGAGGATGAAAATAATTTATTCATATATATTATATGGGTAAAATTGTTAGAAAATGGACTCATTAAAGTAATTTGGAAATAATGTAGCTGTATTCTTTGTATAAAAGTTGTGTAATAAAATGTTATAATTTCATGTATTTCAGACTAATTCATTCGGCAGATGCACCATATGTACTGCCCTTGAGGGATGTGAAGAACAGGAAACTTGCCTTGTAATTATTCATTGAAAAGTCTCCGGTTAAAAGTTCAAACTGCTATTAAAACTATGAAAAATGCTTCATTGTTTGGTTGGTTTTACGTTACACCAACACAGTTCTAGCGAATAAGGTTTTCAAAATGAAGCTTAAAATGTATGTTCACAAAGTATGAGACAGTATACGATGTTGTAAAACAATGAAAAATGTACAGTTCAATTTCAACTTAAATTCTAATAATTAATTTACCTAATTAATTAATTTACAAAAAGTATGAAATTATGTTATTTTGTCGATGATTACAAAAATGAATGATTCAGTTAGGTAAGGGAAAGCATCATAACATAACGTAAACATTTTATATAGCAATTTAATATACATTTTTATTTAATCCCGACATACAAATTAAAATATAATTCGTTTTTGCCATACCTTTATCAATTGAACTTGTGAATAATTTGTTTGGAAAAAAAAATAAAAAAAATTTAATAAACAATAAAATCCGTATCCATTCAATTGATTTTTGCATCCAGAATTACATAATCAGAGTCTTTTACTTTATTACTTATTTTCCGTCAAACGTAGATAATTTTGGCTGTCATGATGCAAGGGAATTCCTCGCTTATAATAAAATATATAACCAGGTGAAATGGTTTTACGGAATACGAACACAGTTCTAGTAAATAACGTTTTCAAAATGAAGCTTAATGTATGTTCATGTGAAATTAAACAAAATAAACGTACGCTTTCATTTCAAATTAGATTAAAACAATTCATTTCTCTGGTAAATTCTTTTAAAAAGTATAAAACTGTATGTGTTTTTGATATCGAAATGGCAGATGCTTTCACAAACAAACAACATTACATTTAGTGATTGTTTCATTTTAATATACGAGTGTTTGTTAATTGTTTGCTTGGGTTTTAATGGAACTTAGACACATAACTGGTCAACTATTATTGATGATTTAAAAAGAGGTTAGTACATGCTTATGTTTTTTTTAACCATTTCGCGCATAAACGCATTGTGAACAATGGCGTATTTATTGAACAGCATCCTGTTAAAGGTTCCAACTGCTATTAAACTATGCAAAATGCTTCATTGTTTGGTTGGTTTATCAGCACACTAACACAGTTCTAGTGAATAACGTTGTGTATGTTCATGAAGTATAATACAGTATGAAACGATGCCGTGAAACAATGAAAAATGTACACTTTAATTTCAAATTAAATTCCCTTTATTAATTTATCTGGTTAGTTTTTAGTTTGAAAAAAGATGAAATTGTGTTATTTTGTCGATGATATCATAACGAATGATTCAGTGAGTTATGGGAAAGCATCATCAGATAATGTAAGCATTTTGTATAGCAATTTTAATATACATTTTATTACTCGTGGCATACAAATTCACATTCATTTTTTCTATACCTTTATCAGTTGAAAATGAAAATTACATGTTTTGAAAAACAATAAATAAAAACAAGATTTATAAACAATAAAATCCTTATCCATTGATATAATAATTGCATCGAGAATAACATAAAGTGTTTCCCTTTATTACTTACTTTCCGTGAAACGCTGTTGATTTTAGCCTTTCATGAGGCAAGGAAATACTTCACTTATAATCATATATTTAGCCAGGTGGAATGTTTTTACGGCACAACAACTCAGTTCTTTATGTATGTTCATGTGGAACAAGACAGAATAAATGTTGACGTGGAACAAGCCAAAACGTACGCTTCCGTTTCAATTTAGATTCCATGGTATTTTTTTAATTGTTTGTTTGTTTGGATTTTATGACACGGCAACACATAACTTGCCATATCGTGCTGAATGCTATAGAAGGATAAAAATGTTTTGTAAAGCTTTGTAAATAATAATTAAAATGAGTCAATTAGATCCTACAAAAGAAGTTTATCTCTTTCAAATAATCAATGGTATTTTTTTTTTTTTTTGAAATTGTATGTGTTTTTTGTAAATGATATTACAATGGCAGATGCTTTCACAAACAAAAAACATTACATTTATTGATTCATTCATTTTGATATACGAGTGTTTGTTGTGTGTTTGCTTGGGTTTTAACGGCACATAGACACATAACTGACCTTACCGTGCCGAACACCATTATTGTTAACATAAGAATATTGAACCTCAAAAAGAGTTTAGTACATGCTAATAAAATGTGTTTGTTAACCCTTTACCGCATAGGCATATTGTGAATAATGGCGTTTCATCGAAAAGCCTCCTGTTAAAAGTTTAAACTGCTATTAAACTACGAAAAAGGCTACATAGCTCGGTTGGTTTTACGACACACTTGTGAACTTGTGAATAATATGTTTTGAAAAACAATAAATAAAAATACATTTAACAAACAACAAAATCCGTATCCATGGTTATTTGCATCCAGAATAACATAAACAAAGTGTTTTACTTTATTTCTTATTCTGCGTAAAACGTAGTAGATTTTGGCTTGTCATGATGCAATGAAGTACTTCACTTATAATAAGATATATAGCCAGGTGGCATGGTTAACCGGCACACCAACACAGTTCTAATGAATAACGTTTTGAAAATGAAGCTTACTGTATGTTCATGTGGAACTAGACAGAATAAACGTGAAACAAGAGCAATCGTATGCTTCCAATTCAAATTAGATTCCAAAATTTCATTTCTCTGGTAAATTCTTTTAAAAAGTATGAAATTGTATATTTTTGTCAATGATATCACAATGAATGATTTTCCGGGCAGATGTTCTCACAAACAAACAACATTACATTTATTGACTGGTTCATTTTAATATACGATTGTTTGTTGTTTATTTGCTTGGATTTTAACGGCACATAGACACAAAACTGGTCATACCGCGCCTAACACTATTGTTGTTAACCTAAAAACATTAAACCTCAAAAAGATGTTAGTATATGCTGATAAAATGAGTTTGTTAACCCTTAACCTCATAAGCATATTGTGAACAACGGCGTTTTTATTGATAAGCCTCCTGTTAAAAGTTCTAAGTGCTATGAAACTATGAAAAATGCTTCGTTGTTTGGTTGTTTTTACGATAAACCAACACAACACAGTTCTAGTGAATAATGTTTCCAACTGAAGCTTAATGTATGTTCATGAAGTATAAGACAGTATATATTTTAATATACATTTTTTTAATCATGGCATAAAATTAGACCGCCTCCGTGATCGAGGGGTTAGAGTTGATGTTTTCTAATCCAGGTACCTCTCTGGCGTGGGTTCGATCACCGGGAGATGCTTTGGTAGTTTAGCGCGGAGGAAGGTAGTCTAGTACTGGTGTAACTCTCCAGGAACGATAGTTAGGAAACTACCCGCCTATATGACTGAAAAAGGCGTAAAATGAAACAAACCAATAGAAGCATAAAATTAACATATAATTCGTGTTTGCCATACCTTTATCAATTGAACTTGTGACTCAATTGTCATCAAATGTGATCAGGATGCTTGTCTAGGTAAA